GGCCAACTAAAAAGCTGGGTGGCAGCCCCCACTATTAGCTACTTTCGTCAAAGTGGCGTTACTGCCCTGATGCAGAAGGATTCACAACGTGGAAAGCAGATTACGAAGTTGGCAGTGAGAAACGTTGAACTGGTCAATAATGCCCCTTTGAATCCCAAGTCCTAGTAAGGGCTCTATCTTTACTTCGGGTAGCTTGAGCCTGAAAATTGATTAATAACGATGTATCACGCGCTGGAGTGAGCAGGATTTAAGGTTCTCTGCAAGACAGTCATTACCGCCGAGGCATTCCTGTACCAGCCAAACGAATCAGGGACAAACGGCATGCCCCCCGGGCTGAAATAATGTGTAGATCACCTTCGAGAGATATAAATTACAGGACAGCTAGCTTCATCACCTTATTGAGCGTCACTGCACCGAATAACTCAATTCTTGATTCTAGAGAAGGAGTGAAATGGAAGTTGATTACTTCCGGACACTGTCTTTTCACCCTTCCCCATCAAGCGCAGCTCTTTGAGAAAGGCCATCTCCCACCTGAGTTCTTTACCAGGCTCCAAGCAAATCTTTCTTCTTTCTCATGTCAACGCGAGAAGTTCGGTAAGTTCGAGGCTTGCAGTACCTTCCATTTGTCGACCTCAGGTTTACTATACACGTTTGCAGAGCCGTTTGATACGCTGAGACATAAATTTTACCACCTCTCGATGACTTCAATACTGAAGAAATATTTCATCAGTGGACTATCTATCCCAGAGTATCCAAACATTGACAAATAATAATGAGATGATGTTAAGCCAAAAGATCCCTACCGGATGGCTTAGATGAGAGAAATGAATGCTCAACAGGCCTATTTGAAGCTCATTCTGAATTCCGAGGGAAGGCAATTCCAGGAAAAAACAACCCTCAGAGAGCAGAATTTGTGGCTTACGCCCGACTGCTATGTTCTAGACCTATTTTCTGAACGTTCTGCGGGATCGGTGTTGCAACATCCATGAAGACCACGATCGCAGAATGACTTCTAATTTTACTCGCAGTTGGAAGCCCCCTAATTAACTCAGTGTTCAAGGACAGCGAAAATAGTTGCTTTAATCCCAACAAAATGTGTTATGCAGTATGGATTTCTCAGCCTGTAGTGTTTTAACTAACTCATTCCCCGTAGAATATTTTGAAGGGAAATGATAAGCACCTGAATATTATCAGTAATATATTAGGGGCAATAGTGTGAGGCTGAAATCTGTTGCTGCATTAGCATCTAGTTTACACTGGTAAATGAATTTAAAGTCGAGTGCAATTTTGGTGGTGGTAGTTTAGTCAACCAGTAGGAAAATCTGAGATTACACTAGAGTTTCCTAGTAATTGCAACGCTCCATATTTCTGTGGACTAACAAGCTCATTTCCCAGTGGTGCAGTGGTCTTATTTTACTTTGTTGTTGGCTTGAAGAATGGCAGTTTGGAACCACTTCCCGAATACGCGAGGGTGTACGATGGGTTTGCGAGACACATTTTAAAGTTTGAAACAAATTGAAAGGGAGGAATTTGACTAAGCTTTCCAGTGAAAATTTTTGGTAGTTCAAGTAGAAATAAGAAGTCATAGAAGGCGCTGTTGTCAATGGAGCCATGAGAAAAGGAGTGGAAGAGGCTTGCTTTCCCGTCGTGGGGCATAGCCAACCAACATAGACAGAACATTCGGAACAAGACCGGAAGGATAAAATCTATCAGTTCCCTAGGCTAGAACTACTGACGTTGAATTTCAGTTCACCGAGTAAATCAACAGGTATCCGTGACGTTTCTCATGTACAACTACTGAATTGTCCCTTCAAAATAGAGGCTTTCTCCCTTGTGGTAATGATATATGCAACTCCCCACAGCTGCACATGGTCGAATTGCTCGGCCTCTGTCAGCAGATGAGCGCCCTTGCTGATACGTCGGCCGCGTATAGCAGGGGGAAATCACAGGTATAATTGCAACAGCCGATGTCCATCGCGCAAGAGGTGGCCGTGGTGCCCAGTGGCTCAGGAGGTAACGCTCTGTCGTTCGAAGCAAAGGCTACCGGTTTCGAGCTTCAGTGGGAACAACATCACTCGCTGGGGTGCAGGTACACCATGCTGACGAGTTCTATGTAGCAAGAAACGCGCATCCCTGATTCCTGTGCTGGTCACCAAGACCAGTACAGCTTCCTCGTTTCTGGTACTCGCACTCTTAACGAATCTCAAAGGTTCAGGTCATGCTTGACTCAACGGTTGTTCGCAGTTTTTTTAAAGGTTGATTCCGAGACGCTGTTCCGCCTTCCAGATCACCTTTCAGTTAATGCCAAAAAATGTTCGCACTGGAGGGCGTTGTGAATTTTCCGTGCAGACATGTGGCACAGACAAGACAGGCACAGCACTTCAAATTTAACAGATCTAAGTGTAAATGGTTCTGTAGACTGTTCAGAACGTAAGCTGAAGAAGTTGAAGGCGTCATCGATCCTGTGGAAGACCGAAAAAGGCTCGTAGCTGACTGGAATTTGATATCACTTACCACTATAGAAATGTAGAGGCTGCAAAGACCCCCAATTTGGGGGAGAGGGACTATTTGTCTAAATGCATTGTGCAACTGAGTGAAGCAGTCATTTCTACCCTGCTCGAACCTGTCTGCAAGTTTCTCTTGCCCAGTAACGTGGAGGCTACCTCAAGCCGGACTCGCGCAAGTTGAAAGAAAAGCTCTTAGAACGTACTGCTAGCCGTTCACTTACCTACTGCAAAGGATGAGATAAGAATTATCCGGATGTGCCACATTCGAAACGCGTGAATGTCAAAGATTCACCCAGCGAGAGCCAGAAAGCCTACTTTCAGTGTAGGAATCCAATAATCCAAGAAGTTCTTGAGAACATGCAGGCCCCAGGCTGACACCACGACAGCCACGGATGGAAGCTTCCGGTAGCATGTACGAACCATGAAAGTGTAATCGAACGGAAGCTGACACACATAGCTCCAGAACTTGGCTAATCAAATAGGTCTTTTCACCAGCGGCGATGGCAGCGGCCAGACTGGAAGCCTTCCTAGCCGGCAGACATCGCTCGCCACCCTGAGTTCAGATGCATCTAGACGAGTCACCGAATGAAGGGCTGAAGGGGAACCAAAACAACCGGAAACCACGTGTACATGTGTGAACTGCCTGCCTTCAGTAAACAGGAACGGAACAGAGGTCTAACCGTTGGCAGATTAAAATTGAGCCATCTCGCACCCCGTAGTTTCTGCCTTCAACACATCCCTAATTGCGCTCCAATTAGAGAATATTAACCGCATCTAATCACATTCATTGAGTCTACTTGACAAAATCGATGGGCTTCTTGACTAAGTAGCTTTTTAAACGCCCATCTTATCGGTGTTACCTAAACATAGGCCTCTTTCCAAGTCCCAGACCGAGAATTCGCTTCCCTAAACACCATGTTATTCCACAACGATAGGATTAATGGTAGAGGGGGCGGGTTGGTCTCTCAGCTCAAGTCCACAATCAGTTTGACTTCGATCTTTCTAAAGTCTGGTTGGTAGACCACACCTACGATTGAAGCGGTGATTCCATGTGAACTCGATTATTCAGTTTTGCCAAAGAATCTGGATTAACTGAAGATTCGCGGTCAGCAACTAGATGGGGGAAATAATCAAGTCCCTTCGCCTGGAGTGCATTTTCACAAACGAGGAATTCTCGGTGGCTGACCTCACAATACTCCCTTTACTAACAAGAGTGGCCGTATCGTTATCAGACTCCAGCGTGTCTCCAGGGCAGAGCTGACTCGTCTAGTGGACCAGTGCCACCGTAACATCAGAAGACACGACGCTGTAGCTCTTCAAAAGGATTCCAGAAGATACAGACTGGCAAGCTAGTTGGGATATAATTAGTCGTTGGATGCTAATGCATGATGAAATCACACACGCTATAAAACAGTCCTTCCCTGGTTCAGTGCCAGCGTACCACAAACAGCCCATGGTACCGCTTGACTATACCGTCAACCATCTGAGGTTAGGAAGAGACCATTGGGTTACAGAGACGGGAAATGGCTGTGAGTCCACCCATGGACAGTGCAGGCAAACGAGAAATATTTACAGCAGGATCTTGAGAGATTAAGAACATCGGCAGTAACTTCGGTCAGCTAACATATTGCGTCAGATCCAGCAGCCTTCTTCGCTGTACAGCTTCACTCTGTCAAGCCAAAATGGCAGTCTCCCACTTGATAGGTCCGAATGGGCTACTCAGTAATGACGCCGCAGATGCTCCGACTTAGCAATATTTACACACCTCGCCATCCACTGCATTTGCGAATACTTACGGGTATCCCGCAGAGGCAGGACGACTATCAGCCGTTGGTCTTGGTGTCGATCCGATGCATCGTGGGCCGACAGTACTAAGAAAATACACATCACCGAGCCCAGATGAAATCCATACTGCTCTCCGTCATGAGGGGGCCTCACTTTTCAGAGAATACCTCAGAATTTTTTCATGCATTCTTTTAACCAGCTCAAAGTGTTTGAATTTTGGAGATCAGGTCACGACACACCTACTTTCGGAGGCAACCAACGAAGCGATCCAACAGACTCAGAGCCTATGAACCAGAAGTCGGAAATTGGACACAGTAGGACAGACACAAGGCGTATCTTTTTCCTTCTGGGTGTATTCTTTCTGTGGAAGCTCTTTGAGCTAGATCACCGTACAATTTAAGCCTAGAAGGCATCCAGAGGCGGTTGACCAAGTCGGTTCGAGGACTTGGGTCTAAGACATGTGAAGAATGACTGGTCGCGCTCGATAATGGCCCACAACACCTTGAACGCCCCTGGACACCCACACCGTCGCTTACTGAGTCTTGGCTGTAGCACTAGTCCAAGATGGCAGATACAGAAACCAAGCCTAGAACATAGCAGGTTAGCTATCAGACACAACTATTCCTTAAGAATTGTTAAACCATAGAGTGCTCTTTCTGTAAGAGTAAAGCAGACTATTTCATCTGAGCCCTTTAAAATCCATTTCAAATGCCTCAAAAGCTAAACTCAAGAAGTCTGATTTTGGTTATAAATGAAGCAGAAGGATTTACACATTGTTTTAGTGCATCGGTTAGCATAATAAATCCGTCAGGGTCATCTGTTCGCGGCTATCAATTGATGGCAGATATTGCTTTTGACCACATTACGGAAGAGGTCAGAGGTACGGTATATCCGGGTAAGCTTAGGCTCAGGGAGGATGAGTTTATGTATAAAAATGAAAAGACTGGGAAAGTGGATCATTTTTCGCGATCAGACATAGAATCAGCTCAGTGGATCGCCCGTGCAACTGGATTAGGTCTGCGCATTAAATTGAAAAACAGCTCTTTGCATCGATATGATGGTTTCGGTGAAACAGAAGCTGAAAAGGTTGGAGGATTTTTCAAGAAGTACTTTAACGTTGAGATTGCAAAGCGCGAATTGTGCTACAAAGGTTACAACTGGGGTGAGGTCGAGTTCGATGGTAAGTACAGTCTACATAATTTACTGAAAAAGGTGATGTTCTTGAGTTTTCAGTGAAAAATGCAATGGCTTTTGAGGTACCACTGAGCAATGTTGCAAATGCCACTATGAATAAAAATGAAATCATTTTTGAATTTCACCCTAATGATGAAGCTGAAATTTGCCTATCGGAAATGCGCCTATATACACCGGGAACTGAAGCTGACAGAGAGGGGAAGGCACCAATTATTTACTCAAAAGTTACTCAAAAGGCAGATATCATTCAGGTAAACCAATTAGTTACTTATCTACGGTAATCCAGGTTACGGGCGACTTTTTGATTGAATTCAAGCAGTTACAATGTCTTCAACCTCGTGGTCGTTATGATATTAAGTTGTATCCCAGTTTTATCCATTTGCATGGGAAGTCATTCGATTTTAAAGTTCCAAAAAACACTATTACCCGTTTAATGATGCTCCCTCATCCTGACAATCGACAGATTTTCTTCGCCGTTCAACTTGATCCACCAATCAAACATGGTCAAACAAGATACCACTTTATTATTTTGCTATTTGACAAAGATTCTCATGTTGATTTGGAAATGACTGCGACAGAAGATTGGCTTCAACAACAGTTTAGTGGAAAACTAACTCGAAATATTTCTGGACCTGAATATGAAGTAGTCGCCCGTGTGTTTAAGGTAATTAATAATATTTCGATGCTTTAAGACCTAAAATTTATCTTATGCTAGAATGTTCTTGAAGTTTGCTTCGCTGATTTACTCAATAATTTCTGTCTGCTGTCTAACGTTTATCTGGTGTTCATATATCGGTGTATATCAGTCTGTATAAAACACCAGAACAGCTGAAGGGAAATGTTCATCTTCTGGTGGGTTAAGCATGAACTTTGAAATCCATGTTAGTAATTCGCTATCTCATCAACTTGGCTGATACAAGCTATGCATCAACACGTGTTGCTAACTATTGTTTTCACTGCCAAAATATGACCTTATAGTGGCAATGGTGAAACTAAGAGTAATGTCTTGTCCATAAAGTCCCTAGATATCATTTCCTACATCTAGAAAGGAAGTAACTGGGGGAAATTTAGTGATTGTTTGCTTGCTGTTCTACAGCGTGCTATTTGTGCATCATGGTTTTTAATCATCTCAGAATAAATTGTAGAAAAGCTTGACTGGCGGGTATTCATAAAGAATTCTCGAGGGAATAGTGTTAACTGTTAAATGGGTATTACCAAATATTGGCGAAGACGATTATTGGCTGCTTGGAAAGGTCTTTTAGAACAAGTCGAATACCATTGTGATATTTGAGTTGTTACGTTATAATGCTACCGAGTAGGACAAAACTCCCGGTTACAAGTCATATTCTAGCAGGAAATTAACGGGGAATAGACCCCTCTTTTCGATTTATAATGGGATTATAGAGGTAATGTTTAGTTCCTTAATAATTTCTCAACCCAATTTGGCTGACATCTTATAGAAAAGTCGCTGTCTTTTGACGCTAAATACAAGTATTGGGGAAGTGACTACTTCGTCTACAGAGTTGGGATACTTTGTGGTCACCTGGGTTGTTTCCTATACAGAGCGTCATATGTTTGCGAACAAATGCATTGTTCTGAAACAGTAATCAGTTGGAAGTTCTTTAGATATATTTTTGGGCTAAGTATGTCCATTTTAACTACCCCCGATATAACTAACATTAAGATCTTCATCCTTCACCTCACTACCTTTTTACTTGATGTGCTGATATGAGGTGTGGCAACTCGGACCGTTACGCAGTAATGCCTGGTCCTATGTTGATAATGATGATGATGATGACTAACATTAAGATGGTCTAGTAATTGCTTAACAATTTCGCGGTTTTTCTGGTGGCTATAATGGAAGTGTGTCACCATCCACTTCTACTCTCGTTAATATCATAGCTGTCGGTCAGTGTTCCAGATACTGAACTATCAATCAACAGGTGGTGTTCATATCCCATTCTGTTTAATATGATATGAAACTCTTGGCAGTGTTGCTAATCGTCACACAAGAGGGTGCGGCTCATGCGTATGTGGTTGCTGTTCGTACATAATTATATTCTATTCTTAAGTCCTAATCTACCTCAGTTCTTGCTTAGTGTAGATGACTACGATTAACCCTCACATTGATAAGGCAAAAGTGACTATACTATCAACTGAAATATCTTTTAGTGAACTCATTTTTCGTACTGATGATATTTCTTCGTTGAAAGGGGAAGATCCGATGCCTGAAACATTGCAAATGATTGTTTATTTATTACCTATCGAACTCATATTTGCATCAATCACTTTTATGGACTATTTTATCTCCATTTACAGTTCAACATTCATTTTGTGATTTTTACCATCCATTTTGGGTCTTGTGATTGAATGATGGTTGGGGTACTGTCCGTTCGAATGAGAAAATTTCATAGTTTTGAAATGGAGTAGTGATATTTAGGATGAACGATTGGCTCAAAGTAAAAAATACTATCCAGGTTTAAAAAACCTTGCTATGTATGGAAAACTTGAGTTAGACGACATGGAAATTGGCAGTTATCTACGGTGTTCAGAACCATAGGTATTTTAAAAACTCATTTCTTAGCGTATCTTTCGTGGATTTTGACAGACAAATGTATGTACGACGATACAAATAAACACTACAAGTAAGTTTACGACTAACTCCATTGCATATTCTTTTCTCAAAACATCATGCAGTAAATAATACTGTCATTGTGTACCGTATCAAATAAACATTCGGTGTAGAATTGCACTCTATCACCATACCCGAATTCTACTATGATATTTACGAGTAATTCTGTAAACTTACATGTCCTATCCATGTTAAGGTATTGATGCAGTATAATCCTGGCACACACATGCTTAAATGGTAATAATGCGGTAATTACTAGGACATTTAGTGTGCATATGAATTGGAAGTTACTACTTATACTTTCACAGATCATTGAGAAGAAGTATGCAGGAGAAAAACTTTTTTAAAATGACTCGGTATCGTATTTGTTATTCATACTACGCTTTTGGTTCCCTTAATGATACATAGGTACTTTTTGATCAGAAAGTTACAGTTCCAGGCAGCTTTTCTGCGAAAGGTGGTGGCTGCGCAGTTGCATGCAGTTACAAGGCATATGTCGGCTTGCTGTACCCTTTAGAGAGAGGCTTTACGTTCGTCCCTCGTCCTCCAATCTCTATACGTTTTGATGAGACAGTATCTGTACAGTTCTCCCGTGGGACAGGTGCTCAGAGATCTTTTGATTTTGAGGTTAGTGATATCTTAGTTTTTTAATTCAGATTTGTAAATAACTCAACTCTGTAAAACAGATCAGACATAGCATAGTGGTCTGTGGATATCCTGAGTGTTGTCCATTTCCAAGCGCTAACGAAATGCAGGGTGAATGGATTGTGGTTATATATACCCTGTTTGGTGTTCTTGATTCTCTTGATCCTACTAACTATCATAAGACGAGTATACTGCGCTGCAGTTAGGTTGGTCCTGTCATGCGGCTGATACATGGCTGTCAAAAGTAGAGGAAATGAAGTGGTTACAGGGTTTTGATCGCAGGTGTCTTCGCAACATTGCTTGCGTTTGGTGGAATCATCGTATGAGCAATGTTGAGATTAGGCGAAGGGTAGTTTTCAAGAAAGGCAAATCGACTGGCGATATTATGAACCTTAGTGGACTGAGATGGCTTGGGTGTGCTGAGTCACCGCTTACCTCAACGTGCTATGCTAGAAGAAGCTGGGTTAAGTTAGGAAAGAGTTCAACGTGGTCAGACCAAGACCTAGCATTAGTCGATGAAGTCTCTAACTGTTTGTCTGAGTCGTGTGGCGTGATGTAGAACGCCTGATTGGGGCTCGGGGGACAAAAGGAATGAATGGTTGAGGACTATTGATGACACAGCTAAAAATCAGTCACAGTGACGCAGATGTGTTCACTCCTTGACGTCTAAAGATTGCATATTTACACTAACTGTTATCTTCAGATTGTTTATTCCTTTACACAACTTTATCTACTCTGATATCACTTATTCTATTTGTTTGTTCTTTGTATACTACTGCGTTGTATGGCAACTTGAACCGATGCAATTGTTGGCGAGGTTCTACGTTGATTCTATCTGTTTGTCTGATACTCAGTTCAGATGGAAACCATATGAACTGATCTCTGGCGGGGTCATGGGTGTGCACTGCTGAGGAGTCCCATATTAGGACAGCTGTCCATTGCTCTTAGGTTTCCAGTATTCCTCCAATTGATGTCAGTCCATGATGAGTACCAGCTTGAAGTCAGTGTCAGCCTAGTTGGCGTGGAGTAACTTCACAATAAAGTTGAACAATTCTAATTGTGTTGTATTTTCGCAATGGAATTGTGAATTAGGCTTATGCTGATACTTCAGAATGACAGGAAGAATATAAATTAACTAATTGTAATACGTGTATTTCTGGCAGTCCCAGTGGACATTTCGCAAACGGTCAACAATACAGTATTAAACATATGTACGTACAATGATATATTTACAGTAGCCAATAGAATTATTGTAGCATGGAGCAGTAGTAATCAATGCAAATATAGCCACACGTCTGCATGACCATATATCAGAAATAAAATCGAGGAACTCTGAAGACCATCGTAGCAACAACCGAAATAGCCAATCAGGTTTTTCTATTTGTTCCAGAATCTAGGAAGCTGACTAGTTATCTCAGCAGTTGGTTGGGTAGCCTTTGGAGTCATTTCATAACTCATCAACCAAATGTAACTGGGACACTTATTCATCTAGATATAATTACAGATCATGGACTAAGTACCTGAATCTAAAGCTTATCTCGTCATCTGAATTCATAAGGGTTGATTTTACTACAGGAGAATACTTGTTTGGCCTAGAGTACGAAGTTGATATAGTCATGTTAGATGGAAACGCTGAAAAATGCGGAGTTTTCTGAACATAATGTTCGAGATGCGTTTCTCACCACTCATATGCTCCAGTGCTGGCTTTCAGGGATACTGACTGAAGTGTTTGAGCGCATTGAGCGCAAAGTTGGATCAACCGTGGTGGGTCAGTGATTAACAAAATCTCCGCACCATTTCAAACGTTTCTTGCCAACTTAAGCCTTATGTAGCATCACCGTGATATCCAATTGTCTATTAAAAGTTGAACGTACTGTGTTGCAGTCCGCTCTGTTCTACTCTATGGCTGTGAAACATGGCTATTAAACGTAGAGGACATGAGAAGGCTTCAGGTACTTGACCACCATTGGCTTCGTAGCATAGGCCGTATTCCGTGGTGTCACCACGTGATTAACGCAGGAGTCAGATGTAGTTTTAAGAAGGAGGTTTTGAAGGTCCAGCGAATGAGTTAACTCGGACATGTGTTACGTATGCCTAGTCACCATCCGCATCGTCACATGTTGTTAGCTAAAGTAAGTTCAGGCTGGGGAAAAGACTTAAACATCGTATCAGTGCATGAAGTCTGAGTATATGGCGATGCAGACTAGCCGGTTTAAGTTCGCTTGATGACAGGAACCAGAGGTTGGAGACTATAGGTGATGTGATTCAGAATCAGTGTCAGTGGCGTATATGCACACTATCCTCAGTATCTTTTAAAAATTCCTCCTTGTTATCTTATTAGAACCTTCTACCACTTGATTGCTTTCTTCTCTATTACTTTGTCTTCCATCTTAGTGCTTTCTCGCTTAATGTGCTGATGCGAGTTGTGGCAACTTAGTCTCTTATGCAGTATATTGGCAGTTCCTTTTGTGATCATGTCTGTCTGTTTGTGTTATTTTGAATAATTCTTCACTACGAACTGTATTGAAAGCTTCAGTCAGTTTGCAATCGTCTAAATAGATTCGAATTTAATGTTATTTCAGTTTTTCTCTGGTGTGATTGGTCACTGTATCTTAACCCCCCTTTTTTTAACAGGTGGAAACTCGGAATGGTTTAACTCACACTTTTACTTCCATCGAAAGGGATGAATATCATCATTTGTATGATTTTGTGACTGCTAAGAAACTTCGTGTCAAAAATATCAATTCTGAAAACAAGAGCAACACTAATCCCGGTGACGACGTCTGGTCATCATCGGATGAATCACATGATGCCTACATGGAGAAAGTTAAAACAGAGGCTCGACAGCGAACCACTGAAATGGATGGTGATGACGATGATGATGATGAAGATGATGAAGATTTCAAGCCTCCAGAATCTGATGGTTCAGAACTAGCTGAAGAGTATGATAGTAATGTCCAAACAACTACAAGTGAAGAAGAATCTGGCGACGATGATGATGATGATGGTGAAGAAGGCGGTGGTGGCAAAAGTACTGCACATAAAAAAGAGAAGCATGACAATGATAGTGATAAAGATGATGGAGATAGTTTGTCAAGTGTGAGTGATGTTGATTTGGCACCGAAACAAAAGAAGCCAAAAGATGAACCACAAAAATCAAGTAAGACTATGCATAAAGATGAATCTAAACCATCAAAGCGTCAAACAAAGAAACCGAAAAAAGCCAAAGATCCAAATGCACCTACTCGTCCAGCTACTGCCTATTTCTTATGGTTTAATGAGAAAAGGGAGGAAATCGCAAAGAGTTTAAGCGGACCGAATTCAGTCGCTGAAGTAGCAAAAGCTGCCGGTGAAATTTGGCGAAATATGGATAGTGAGACTAAGGCAACCTATCATTCTAGAGCAGATGACCTGAAAAAGAAGTATCAAGAAGATTTACGTGTCTATCAGTCAGGTTTATCGTCTAAAGAACGAGAGCTATCCCCAGACTCTAGTTAACAAACTGCATAGATATTTATAACCTTTGAAATTTTGTATAGAAAAGAAAGAAAGAAAGAAAATTGATCCTCATATTATAGTACAGTTTGTGTTGTTTCTTATCTTCATCTCGCACCTCACTGCCTTTTTACTTGATGTACTGATATGAGGTATAGCAACTCGGACCGTTACGTAGTAATGCCTGGTCCTAGGTTGATCTGGATGGATGATGGCTGACGATTTATTCTCCGATCTATCAGAATGTTTAGATAACTTCAGGATTACCCGTCAATGTGTTTATATATGCTTGTCATTGGATAGTGCCTCAGGATGTGTTGGAATCTTGTGAATCTATGGCTTAGCCAGTAGATTGTGAGTCCGATCCCCATTCCACCTCTCAAGGTTGGAGTAGTCATATAGTAGTATCATTAATTGTCATACAAGAGGTGTAGCCTATTGCCTACTACTGCATGAATATATGTGCACAAGGTTGCTGAGTGGATATTGATTCAATTTTCGTTAGTGTTAAGAATACACGTTTAATTGACGTTTATGTAGAGGTTTATTATTTACTATACTTGGTAACCCTAACCCTTTTAAAAGTAGACTTTGTTGAAATTCAGCTGGTATAACGTTGAAAGTGGTTATCTTATACGAGGAATCCTTGGACTTCTGTTAGGCATTAATAATATCATGTCGCATGTTGTTAAGTGGATGGCTAAAGGCTGAGATCTGGATTTTCAACACCAATGTCAATTCAGTGCTGCTGTATGGTTCAGACACTTGGCATGTCACGAAAAGCACTTCCAACAAACTACAGACATTCATCAACAGCTGCTGCTGCCTACGCTCGATACTGAAGACCAAATGGCCAGAAAGAATAAGCAACAAAGAACTCTGACTGGCTGGCAACGAACCAACCTACAGCCTATCACCCAACAAATATGTAGTAGAAGAAAGCGGAGATGGATTGGGCATACACTGAGAAGGTCGATTGGGGACATCATGCGTAAGGTCGTCGAGTGTAATCCAAATGGGGAACGACGAGTTGGGCTTCCGAGGCGAGGGTGACATGGAGGCGATCGTGTGAGAAAGAAATAAAAGCTTGTAGCCAGTCGTGGAGAGAGGTTCAAAAGGCTGAAGAGAACAGAGTGGAATGGTAGCGTGTTACTGAATCCCTATGTTCGACTAGAAACCCAAGGGAAAAATAATAATAAAGGCCGGCGGTTAGTTTCGGGGGTCAATCGGAAGGCATTTATTGAAAATACGCCTGCCTGTAAGAGTATTTCGGTCACAGATTTCCTAACATATCGTCAGATGACTTCACAAGATAGTAGGGAATCTATATTGACTTATCATCATTCGAGAGTAACGAATTTCATGTTGTTTATTGCCAAGTGCTGATTGTATTCTGTCGATCATTTTGTAATTTGACCATAAGGCTAACAGATTGAACATTTATAGTGCACTTTGGTTGATGTTAGATACTTGGAGGTAATCAACGGGAAGCCCAACTAAACTTAGACTTCGTGTTTATTGGCACTTGTCAGCAAGCTGTATTTGAAATCTCGAGAAAACTAATGTGTCCCCTTCGACAGTTGAATCTTCATCACTCGGTACAGTCAGAGAAAATTATCAGTGGGGTATTCAGGCCATGCTTGACCTTTTCTAGAATTGAATTAAATACATTTATTGGCCATTGATAGGTAACTAATTTAATGTTCCACTTCAGACTGGAAAACATGATTGGGGGGAGGGGGGGGGGTGAAACACTACTACTAAACAATATGAGCTATGGATTTCGCCAGCCAGTCTAAGCATCGGATGTTCTTTTCGCTAGTTTGAAAGTGAACCAGGGTATGTTTCATCCCATACAGACGAACTGGTTCAAATCCCCTGAATCTGGCTAGGTGACTGGAATGGACTTGCATTCCTAAGATGTAGGATGATCAATTTGCGAATGATTTGCAAATTCTGGGCTTTATTGTGTTCTCTGAGCTGGGTTGTTTAGTGGTGGAACATTCAGTGTCTTTCTACACAACATCAGCACCAACTTCGATCTGAAATGAGCTGTCAACAACTCTCCGTGAGTGGTTCCACAGCTTACCCCGACGGAATGGTTTGTGATTGGTTGTGTCATTGACTGTATAGATTTTCTTGTCGACCTCGACCTCTGACCTTCCTGTCGTTTATCATTTTTCCTATTGGTTGATAGACTGGGTTTATGTCTATACATCTATTGATTGCTGACTGACTGACCTGAATGCCAAGCTCCTAGAAATTCTCTGATACTCTTTGTGTTTCCTCTCTCCATCCAAAATTTCTACATTGTCACAATTGAATTCATCTCCATAGTTGTTATCCACGTGGATTAATCAACGAGTGACGAAATGTCTTGTGTGACGTTTGATAGCCGATTGGTATTCATGTAGACGAAGACGAAGAGGGCGACCACTTTGTCTAATGTAGTGTTGACTACAGTTATTCCAGTTGGTTTTGTGAATGGTCTTTGGTTTGTCTTCTTTGGTTATTGCATCCTTTGGTCTGCATAATAGTGTTTGGAGGGAATTTGTTGGTTTATGAGGCACCACACCAATTCCACCAAGTGGTTTCAGTAATTTTGTCGTTATTTCTGATATATCCTTTGTGTACAGTAGGACGATTCGTTTGTTGATTTCTCTGGATGATTTCGTAGTTGATACGTTCTCGCTCTTTTGAACACACTGCAGAACAACAACTTCAAGTCCGTTCTAAAAAAGAGCGGTTACCCATGAAACTTTATCAGAAGGTACCAGTCCCGTCCATCGTCAACTACTAAATCATGGTGGTCGCCCTCTTCGTCTTCGTCTACATGAATACCAATCGGCTACCAAACGTCACACAGGACATTTCGTCACTCGTTGATTAATTCACGTGGATAACAACTATGGAGATGAATTCAATTGTGACTATGTAGAAATCTTGAATGGAGAGAGGAAACATAAAGAGTATCAGAGAATTTCTAGGAGCTTGGCATTCAGGTCAGTCAGTCAGCAGTCGGGGTAAGCTATGGAACCACTCACGGAGAGTTGTTGACAGCTCATTTCAGATCGAAGTTGGTGCTGATGTTGTGTAGAAAGACATTGAATGTTCCACCACTAAACAACCCAGTTTAGAGAACAGAACACAGTCAAGACCATCCACTTGAGCTACAAATATTCCTCACCATTTCAAGATTTTTAAATTGGTGCATCGTTCGCTGGGACAACTCATTGATGTTTCCACTTGCCAACTGTGGTTATTAAAAAGTGGAATGATGGTATCACTCCAATGAACTGAACTGTAGGTTTCTAATTCTTCCTTACACCATTGGGTTTATAAGTCTATCTATCTGTATAGGGATTTTTTAGCTTACCAACTATGTTTTGGATATTCATAGTGAAATGATTTATAGCTTAGAATGAGAATGATGTTGGTAATTTAATGTTCTCTGAGGTAGTATTCAGTATCACAAGTAATAAATTTTTGCTTCATTTTAGATACAAGAAACGTAAACTAGGTGTGAAAGCTACATTATTATTTTTTTATGAGGGTGAGAAGAACCCTTACTGCGCTTACTCTTAGAATAACATTTCAATTGAAAGAAATAAAAGAGTAAAAGTAGTTGAATAGTAGTTGGTATACACGCACAGAGGTTGTAAACTTATTATCGCATCTTTTTTGACTTCACGTATTCTTCCAAAATTCATTTTACATCTACGCTTAACTCTTCATTCCTGCTAAGTTATGAAGTGAAAGAAAGAATTAATTGTGTACACAAAAGAGGAGAGGATAAAATGCGAAGCTGCTTAAGAAATAATTTATTCACAAATTCAAAATACTTGGTATACGATAAAAACAATGTTATATCAAACGGAAAGTGAAAAAGGTGAATCTTAGCTAAAAGTGTTGTATCCTTTTATTTATTCTAAAAATCATTTCAACTATAACCTTAATGGACAAAACTGTTGTATAGCAGTTGGAGTTGAAGAGTTTCCGAATGATCCCCTGACTCATTTGTGTATGATCTATATTTCGGGCATAATCATTTCATGCTTAGTGAAACCTTCTGTTATACATTATCTCATATTTTATGCTTGAAACTAGCCGTTTCATCTTAAGAAATTATGTTGTTTTGTGGTCAGACAGGTAAGTTACTTCTACACATACAGATAAATTAGATGCGTTTTGTGGGTGGATTGAGTATAATATAACACTTTACTTATGACAATCTCTAACAAGAGATAAAATTCGATTGAGTAGTCTCTTCGTTCAAACTTATTCGAGGTTACCTTACAATCGAACAACGATACCGATTGTTGATTAGGAGGATTCAGTTAGTCCTTAGAACTAAAGAAGTGAATCTGAATGCCCCCATTCTTAAATAGAAACTGATGAAGATAGATTTTTTTTCTCTACAAACTATGTTGAGTTGATGAGGTGTCTTGATTTACATTCGAAGAGTGTTCAAAGTCTGTGGAACTAAACATGTGAATTGATCGACTCATGCTTAACTGTTGATGAATGTCGGTTGATCAAGAGATACATAATGCTGTATGAGATAGTCGCTTTATTATAATAGGTGTATTGATGAGAAAATCGCCTGAGAAGTGTTGTCAGTTTATGTTACAACATTAGGGACATTTCTCATAATTCTTGGCCACATCCATTGCGATGACACTGAATGTTTATCGATATTTCAAGGTTTCCCTGAACAGGAGTCATTATAGATCGAGAGTTGACTGAAATCTGAAGATGCAAGTTGAATAATTAAGAAAATAGCTGCTAGTCCAGTAGTAGAAAGAGTTAAATACCTCAGAAAGGTGATCAAAAGTTATTACTACTCCGCAGTATTTGATATTTGACCATAGACGTTTCTCCATCACGCTGTGTGACTTTATCAGAAATTACTCCACTCCTGTCTCTCTCCCTCTCTGTTTCGATGGTGTCTCCTCTTGAGATTGATTCATGAAGACTGTCTTGATAATATGTAGATCCTTGAACGACAATGAAACTGAAATTAGTAACCTGCTATGATTGGTAGTACGACCTAGGAGTCTACCGGTGATACCAACCTAGCAGACTACTAACCTCATGCACGGATCGGTTA